GTCCCGTTCCCAGTCCCGTGTCCCGTTCCCAGTCCTCGGTCCAGTTCCCATCCCTCGCTCCCGTTCCCAGCCCTCGCTCCCGTTCCCAGTCCCATTCCCGATGGGTCCGACGTCACGTGCAGCCGCGGGGCGGGGCCCGCACAGGCCCCGCCCCCATTATAGAGGCGGGAACACAGGCCCCGCCCCCATTATGGAGGCGGGAACACAGGCCCCGCCCCATGCAGAGGCCCCGCCCACACGGACCCTCCCGCCCCTCACACGGAGGGGACGGCTCAGTCCCCGATCCCGATCCCAGCCCCGATCCCAGCCCCGATCCCGATCCCAGCCCCGATCCCAAGGCCTCGGCCATGTCCCGCACCCCACGGCAAATGGCGGCCTCCTCCTCCTCCCAGACCCATCCCCGCCATCCCCCGCAACCCTCCCGGCGCCAGGCTCGGACCACCACGGACAGGCACAGCGATGTCACGTCTTTAATTTAAAAATAAATAACTATATATACACACACACAAACTCATGTTCAAGCGCTTGGTGCACCCTGGAACACCCTCTCCTCCCGTCAGAGCCCCACAAGGGAGAATCCCAAGTACCTTTTGGAGAAGGACAGCGAGGCATTTCCACATCAGGAGCTCCGGAGAGGATTCTCCTTTTCCCTGTGGAGCACGGAACAAACACAACTCGTCCCGTTTGTCACCTCATGGGTCCCAAGCCACACGCCCTCCCTCACAGCACACACCGGGACCGGCACCCTGACCCGGGACAGGAACAAAACACTTATTGCTTTTGGGGATGTTTTCACCTCCCTCCTGCATTTCCTAGCTGATTGTGCTTCCCACAGGAGGTCTCCATCGAGTACTCGAGATCTTTGGATGAAAGATACAATCTGATTTCAGTGCAAAATGCTATGGAGGAGTTCAAGCTCCGTGCAGGACATTGTGAGTCCGGGAAATGGCTGGATTTGGTCTCCCTACCCGTGTCCCTCTACAGTCACACAAGAATGACAGGGAAGATCCCAACCCTGCAACACAGTCCTACCACTTTAATAGATTTCTAATATATTCTACAAGCTATTTAATATATAAAAAGCAATATTATTTTCGCTTTTTGTACACAGTCGTGTGCTCAAAAGTGGGAAATACCAGAATTAAGGCTGCCTGCTCTGCCAGTCACCAGCCTGGAATCAGCACCCATTCTTGTCCTTAAACTCCAGCACACCAACCTCCTCAAAATGCCCTTTTCACTGGGCCTCGGAATTCCTACTCAACTTCCCCATGTTCCTACAAGCTTTCCTACAAATGAGGCATAAAAATGCAATTTAGAGAGTCAGTATGTTGTTTTTTTTCCCTTTTATGACATCCCACCACAGCACAGTTGCTGTACCTGGAATGTTCTGCTCCCAGCTGGGATGTTTAAGGCTTGTGTGCAGAAGCACCAGGCCTCAAACCAACCCCTCACTCTTGTGCAGACCCCAGAAAAGGTTTTTTTTTTCCAGCTTTCTTTCCTGCCAAACCTCCCAGGGCTGTACGGATGGGACAGGGACATGGAGGGGACGCACTGTGACCCCAACACTCCCAGCTCCATCCAGTGGGACTCCTACACCACTGCACCAGTGCCCAGCACACAGACAGCCTGAGCTTTAAAGGCAGGTTTAATTCTGGCATCTCCCAAGCTTTTGAGCATTTGCTGCCCAGGTTTCAGCCAAGGCCACCTGTGCATCCTGTGTGACTCGAGTTTCAGGCATGTGGCAACAGCAGAGCCTTGCTCAGGTGTGGCTGACTCCCATTCCCAGGGTCAGAGCAGTGTGTGAGCCCCCACACTGGGCAGGAATTCCCTGGAAGAGCAGCTCATTCCATGAAGGGCACACACCAGACTGCCTCAGGGAGTTCACGGTGCTCAACTGGAGCAACACTGGTCTAACACTGGTCTGCTGCTCACGAGGACAACCCAGCACCAACCTACCCTTCGAGGCCTAGCTGTATAAAGGAGGATCAAGAAAAACCAGGACATTGCCACATGGATCTTTTTTCTTTACAATATCATGTCTACAGTGAAACATTCATAGCTGCTCAACAGAGTAAAAATATGCTACATGAGAACTGTACCGGAAAAAGCAGGGCCCTGGAAGAGCAGATCAAAACCAAAATGGAATAGCCAGCTTTAAGATATGCCACTGCAAACAGACGAGGGAATGACCACAGCTCTGCCTTCCCAACAGTCTGGCAGACTGGAATCCGTGCAATTCCCAGGCTCCCGTGCTGGTGTCAGGATGGGCACAGCCCTCCCTTGGAGCAGCACATGATCCCTGGGACAGCAGAAGAGCTGGGAATGTGCTCAGGGGCTCAGCATCCTCGTGCACTGGGAGCAGCCCAGCTCTGTGGCACAGCCTGGAGGGACAGGGGGAGGTGGCCCCAGCCCCAGCACGGCGCTGTCCGGGGATGCAGGGAGCTGCAGGTCCGTAGGAAACACGGGAAGCCGAGAGGAGCCTGCTCTCCTGGGAAGCACACACAGCCTGGATGGCAGACACACCACCCATGCAGACGGGGTTCAAACGCAGAGCGTGTCCTGGGGAATGAATTTACAAAGTGCCACTGGTCCTTGGAACCAAATCTAATGTACAGAATATATTACAGCAAACAGCAGCGCTGCAGCTCCTGCTGGGCCCTCTCTGCACCGCCTGCAGAGGGACTCCAATATCCAGACTCTTTACAACAGACTCCTTCCCTTTTCACATGAAGGAAAATAAAAACAAAAGTTAAAACAGCAATAAATAAAAGTATGGGACGTGTGCATCCTGGTCAGCCCCCTTTGTGCATCCCAATCAGACTGGAGAGCTTCTCACAGTGCTCAAGTTTCAGGGACTCTGCTTTCTGTTTTAACCGCTCATCTCTGTAGAGCTTGGCCAAATTTGACAAATCAGACTCTGAAAGATGAAAAAAAAAAAAAAAAGATGTATTAGGATGAAGCCCTGAGCTCCTTTAAAGAACTGTTTCTAAGTGCTTTGTTATCCTTGTGGCACTTGTAAATTTTAATTTTGGTGGGTATTGAGCCAGTGAGGTGAACAGCTACCCAAGGGACTCGTCTGAAAGGCCTCCCTGCCCTTTCATTAACAATCTCAAATGCACATTGCATTTTGTTCCCCTTCTTCTCAAAAGCCACATAAAACAGAAATAATCCCATTGTTTAAATTATTTCCTCCCAGTAATTCAGAGAAGTTTCTTTTGCTGATTAGCTGAGGAAGTCTTAATATAGGTTTCTCCCTGCAGAGTAATTTGGCTGCAGGATTAGATGCACTGAGGAGAACAGCAGTAATTTACTTCTGAAAAGGTCAACATCTCCATAAGCACAGGCTACCTGATGACACTCAATTTTTCAAAGAGCTTTTATACACCTTACAAGCCCCTCATTTTACAAAATTATTCAGAGTGGAAAGAACTTCAATACATCCTTTCATGCCTTACGTCCTCTGTCCCTGTCCCACTGAAATTTAAAGCTATTTAACCCTCCTCCCACTCACTGAAAACTTCACAAACTGACAGGCAGGAACAGTTCATTTTAGAGCAAGAACCCATTTACAGGTTTATAACCAAAATGCCACTCAAGCAGTGCTGGGCACAGCCTTGTCAAGCCTCCAGCAAAAGCCAGGCTCAGGTAATTGTCCCTGAGCCCAGAGTCCCTGGAGTTGTGCAATGAAGAATTTCAGTTTACACTTATTCAATTGGGGAAAATTATTCCCTGCACTTTTGACAGCATTCATTCCATCACATTTGCTCCTTGTGGGTTTCAATCTTTGCAGAGTAATTCCTTTGAAGCCTTTTCTTCAAGGAGGTTCTGAATTCCAACTATATTTACATTGGATATACAGAGGAAATTCCTCCCTGTGAGGATGCTGAGGCCCTGGCACAGAGTGCCCAGAGCAGCTGTGGCTGCCCCTGGATCCCTGGCAGTGCCCAAGGCCAGGCTGGACGGGGTTTGGAGCACCCTGGGACAGTGGAAGGTGTCCCTGCCATGGCTGGGGGTGGAACTGGATGAGCTTTAAGGCCCTTTCCAACCCAAACCATTCCATGATCCTGTGATACTTACCCTGATTTGGTTTTCAGTTGCCTCTTTGTGACCCTGAGCTCTCTGCAGCCTCACTTTACAACTGAGCCATCCCAGCTGAACCATCTCCTGTAAAACCTGGGATATGCTTTTTGAACTTAACTGTGTCACAGATGTCAGGAGACCCAAACCCACAGCACACCCAACTTGGACACACTGCTCTGCTGAGGAGTCTGGTGCAGCACTATAAAACTGGCTGAACAATGTACAACCAATCCATTATTTTAAAGCTTTTCCTTAAGGTTGTTGGACACCAGGTAATGCTTTTCAAGTGTTAAAATCAAGGACTTTAAAACCTAAACTGTTCCTGAACTACTCATCTCTGTCTGTTTTGCTGGTGCTCAAGGGAAACGTGCCCTCAGTAAACACAACAAATGTTCTATAAATAGACATTCAACCGATGAAAAACTCCTCACACCAAATCCAACACTTCAGCAAGGATTAAAGGACCAACACTGTGCAGCAACAGCTGACTAAGAACTGCCTCAGCATCTGCAGAACTTTTCCCCAGCACTCCATCCTGTATTCAGAGTTTATTTTTACAGACATGACTGTCCTAAGGTCAGCCCAGTCTCAGCTATGGCCTGGATGGGAAGCACTCTGAAAATGGGGAGTTTTTAATGACAGCAGTGGCCTCAGGCTGTGCTAACTGTGGCTGTTGTAAATGTATTTGCAGCTGCTGACTAACACAACCCCTGAGTGTACAAAGCTCTGGAGGAGCTTGGCAGGCACTTGGCATTCCAGGCTGGATCATCTCCCCTCTCTGACTCCTGGGCTCTCTCAGACTCACAAGCCCTGTCCCCTCTTTGGGGCTGGGCTCTCCTCTGCTCCAGCTCTCTGTGAAAACTTTCAGTTGCACAAGGTCAAAGGAATTTTTCTGTAAGAAATAAAATCTCCCCTTTAACAAGCCTACATTTATGAGTATGAACATCCACATTATCCCTGGAAGCTGCTCCTGCCAGCCACAAATATTCAAAAGTTCACAAATCAAACACACCAAAAACTTAAGGACTTTTATGGTCTCATAATATATGTTCTTTCCCTTTTTAACTTCAGAGCCTACATCTTTAAATTTCTCTTCAGAAGCAGGATTGCTGACTTTCAATGTGAAATAAGCCAGAACAAGCCTTCCCATCAAATACCTGTAAAGAGCCTGGAGTCACAACACTATTGTTACCTCTCCTTTAGGTTTAAATGAGTCTTCTTTAGATAAATTGGTAAAGAAACTGAAAACAAGTGCAGAGTCACTTTTTAGCAGTGTGCTGACTGCTCTGCACAGAGCAATTTAAAACCCCCACCAGTGTGTGAAAGCAGAACATTCACACAGACATAACTTGTTCCAGCTTCCTTTACACACAGCACTACTCGCTGTTGACTCATTTGAAGGTGATGAGTTCTTAATGTGAATAAAATCAGTGAATAAAACCAGTCACAACATCCCAGCTTAAGTTACTCCTTTTGATTTGATTTGTTATTTCTTACCATTCTGCAAGCAGCAGGAATTTGCTGTCTCATCAATGAACCAGATTAGTAGCAATTAACAAGCAATAAAATATGGGGTTAACATGCCTTTTATTTGTGCCACTGATCCACTCTGAGCTGAATGAGAATAACGATTTTGAACGCTCACATCTGTGTTCTCCCTTTCTGCATTCAATTCTTGTTTTTGAAAGACTTGAAAATGGTGAAAAACATGATCTCCAACTCAGCTAAAGATAGAAAATGCAAATAACACCCAAACCACGGAAGCATGCCCTGAAAACTGCTACCAGGAACACAGCCCACTGCAAGGGAGCCAAGAGCACCTGGACATGCTCTGAACTCTCCTGGATAAATTTTAAGGAAAAAGTTACAGAAACTTCTTGTGGAGCCAGTCAAAGCAAAACTGATTCTGCTCCAGCAAAGGAAACATGGAAGAGGTGATGTTTCAAGATCTTTTCCAGCCTAGCAATCTGTCAGGGCTAGATAAATGTGGTGGGTTGTATGTTTAAAACATCACTAAGGATTATTCAAGCATAAAACCTGAGCGGAAAAAAGTGTCTCAAATGGTGAAGTCTACTTTCCACTCATCTCAGAATCACCTAAAATGGATTTTGACAGATCTCAAGAATAGCAAATTCAGTGTTAAGAGCAGATGTGAGACACCTTAAACCAGTGCAAGGCTGAGATGTTACAAGAATTGGAAACTGAGGCTAAAAACAGCAGAGCTTTGTGAAGCACAACCAGCCCCCAGCCCCTGAAACACCCTTGGGACAGAAATAACTTACTTTGCTGTTTCTCCTTCCAGCAGCTGGTCTGAATATAGTCTATGTAATCTTTCTCAACTGTTTTCTCAAGCTCTTGAAGTTCTGCTCCTTGATAATTCTTTTCAAAGTTTTTATCAACATAATAAGGCACCTGCAAGTTCTCTGTTTCTCTGCTGACAACGTGGCCTATGGACCTGTGGGAACAGCAGGGAGAAATCAGATATTTCAGCAGTTCAGACCTCAAGGAATCAAGAGTTATTTCTCCATATTAGCATTTCCAGAGGAAAATATTTACAGCAGTTTTTTTTTACAGCTCATTTCTGTAGGATTATGGCTCCCTCAACCATCCAGTCAGGAAATTACAGTTTCAGGGACAGCAAGCTGTGCAGTACAAACAGAATCCACCCTCTTGCTGCAACCATAGGAAAATATCCCAGAGTTTATAAAAACTTAGGGCACAATGCAGTTGGATCTGGATTTTCCCATTTTTTGGATTCTGTAATGGAATCTAAGGGAGATTCTAGTTATACTTTTCTTCAGGGTTTTATAATCATCAGTAAACAAAGTGAGGCATGGAACAGGCTGGAAAATACCCTGTAGGAAGAATCAGCCCCTCTGACACAGTGACTGGGTTAAACCACAGTCCTGGAGTGAATTTCCTTGTTTGAGCAAAGGTATCCAAGGCCTCTACTTGAATCACTGCCCACAGAGAGAGGCAGGCAGCCAAAACACAAAGGTTATACTCTACTCACAGGAGTCCTGTTTGCCCCTTTTTCCTGGACTCCTCTTTTCCTTCTCCTTCCCTGTGTCTCAGAGGTGTCCCCAATTTCTTTTAGTTTTTAGGCTGTTTTAAGGCTATCATTTAGCTGAACAGCATAACTGAACCAGGCTCAGGCCTATCTCCCATCACCAGCAGAAGGGGAGGCAATGAAGAAAAGTAGCTCAGCTGCTGTGGGGGCAGCGTGGGAGGTTTCACATGGGACTGGCAGATAGCAAAAACACTCTTGAAAAAAAAAACCAAACAAACCTTAAAAACATCCACCCTCCTGATCTTTTCTGAGGGCCTCACACTGACATTGTGTGGTAAAACAATGAGGGTGTTGGGTAACAGAGAGGAGGGGAAAGCTGGACCTGAGCAGTTTTCCTTCTAGAAGGGAACAAGGGGACAGTTTGGAGCATTCTGCTGGTTGCTCCAAACCTGCCAATCCCACTCCTCTCTCAGTAAGGGCCAGCCCAGCTCAGCTCTTTCCCTCCTCCAGCCCAGGATGCTGAGAGCAGCACATGGGTTTTCCTCTGGCCCAGTACAGCAGCTCTGGTGGGCTCCTTTTGTTCCCAGAGCCCACCAGCCCCAGGGCCCTGCTTCTCTAGAGAGGTTAAACCAGGGCATTTCAAGGCTTTAATGATTTGTTGAGCTTCCAGTGGAATTCATGCTCCAGAAAAGATTTGGATTTATACTGCAAACCACAGGTTTCATTTTTTAGCTACTTTCCAGAGGAACCTCAGGGGTTGGTCCACAGATTCTGGGGGTTGGTCAGATCAGAGGCTGATCTACATCCACACTCCCCATCCTGTACCACTGTACAAAACCATTCCACACCAGTTGAGGAAGGTTTCTGACCCTCTCAGTTCAGCACCCTGTGCACTAAAGCTCCCCACAGGTAACTTCACAGTGCTCACAACTCACCAGTGCAGGCTGTTGCTATTTCCTTATTTACAAACTGGTAACATTTTCTATAAAGAGCAAAACATTAGCATGCATTTTGCTATCAAACCCAACTTCCATCTGCCTCCATACAGCAAGCAGCAACAGCAGCAAAATGTGGTTTTAAAGGACTTACGATTTGTAGAATAAGCTGTAGGGTGGGTTGGTGGCCATCAGCTGGGTTATAACTGACACTATTATGATGATGAAAACTGGCATCAGCTGGATAAATGCAGAGTATGAATTCTGAAAAGTACAAGGATTAGCAGTCAAAAAAATACAGAGATGGTAAAAGGCATCTGTTCACAGAAGCCAGGCTATCAATCACAGATCAACAACGTGTTACATGTAAACTCTGAGGAAAAATGAGAAGGTACTTTGGGATTTTGAGAGGCATGACACTAATTTCTAAACAACCTTTATTAATAATATCAGAACACTTTTGAACACCATTTTCTTTCCATTATCTTTTACTCTGCCCCTTCCTTCACAGTGCCCATGGCACTATTGTACCTGTCAGTGTCCAATCCAGCCTGCAGGAACACCCTGCAATTCCTGTGTGCCTGTGGCTTTCCTGCACCCTCTGAATTTGCTCTCCATTGTAAAGATCTCAGCCTCTGCTCAAGCAGTAAAGGGTTAAGAGCTCCCATGAAGTGTAACTTCAGACAGGATGCAAGCACTGGGGCTTTTGTTTGGATTAATTTAGCAGAACAAAAGAGTGGAAACACTATCAAAGAGAAAACACTGATCTTTCCTTCTGCACTTCCATTTCTTTCCAAACTGGCTTCTAAAGTGCCTTTTCTTACGCAGAGGAAAATATCATATTCAGCTATGTAGGCTTTGCCCTCTGCCCTGAGATAGCAACAAGGATTCCTGAGGCAGCAGTAGGTGGGATTCACAGATCTCAGGATCAGAAATTGGAAAATTCCTCCCAGCCCATCGAGTCCCAGCTGTGTCAGTGCCACCTCCAGCCCTTCCTGGGACACCTCCAGGGATGGGCACTGCAAACCTCCCTGGGCAGTTCCAATCCCTGAGCTCCCTTTCCATGGGGAAATTCCTGCTGCTGTCCACCCTGAGCCTCCCCTGGCCCAGCCTGAGGCCGTTCCCTCTCATCCTGTCCCTGTTCCCTGGCAGCAGAGCCCGACCCCCCGGCTGTCCCCTCCTGGCAGGGACTTGTGCAGAGCCAGAAGGGCCCCCTGAGCCTCCTTTGCTCCAGGCTGAGCCCCTTTCCAGCTCCCTCAGCCTCTCCTGGGGCTCCAGCCCCTTCCCAGCTCCGTTCCCTTCCCTGGACACGCTCCAGCCCCTTGGGGGTGGGGGCTTCACTTTCCTGAAGTGAGGGGCTGGATTCACTTCCCCCAGCTTAGCTGTCTATCAGCCGTACCAGGTTTTTTTTTTCTGAGCCTGAGACTCAAAAGGAAAATGGTTTTTTTTTTCTGAGCCTGAGACTCAAAAGGAAAATCTCATCTTCCTTGGAGAATGATCCCTGGAGGTTAACAGACTGTCTCCAGAGGAAGATCTTGCTAAGGCAGGTGGCAGGTGTGTATGTGCACTGACAACAAAGGACACCTTGTGCCTCAGCTGGCAGAAATGTGTCCTAAGCCCATCCTGTCCCCAGCTGGAAAAGGCCTGTGCAGCCCCTGGGTGCTCATTTATTGAAGGATTAAATACACCTTGAGGACAAGGCACTGCTTCCACATCCATCATCAGTTCCCATTTGGACTAACTGCTGTTGCATTACCAAGCACTGGAGCTTGCAAAAAGCAAGAAGCAGCAAAACCCTCAGTGACAGAAACTGGAGGGCCTGAGATGCTATAAATACAAAGAATTTTTACAGCAGTGATTAATAAAAGCCAATCCAATGACAAAGAAAACACCCACTGTGGCTGCAGCCCTTGAGGACAAACACTGAGCACTCAAGCATGGGAGGGTTTGACCTGGCTTTGGAAGAGGATCCCTTGCCCTGCTGAGATGTTTAAATATTTAAGCTGAGGAGATGTCTCCTCCTGACCTGTGGCCTGTGCTCCTCCTCCTCTGGCTCCTGTGTCCACGCCCTCTCGGCCCGGTGCCTCCGTGGGTAATAGTGAGCATCTCTGCCTACGTTGGAGAACATGTGAATATTCCCTGCAAAAGAAACCAGGACAGACTCATGTTTCACCCAGCTGCTGGTACTCACCTGAATTCCTCTGAATCATCCAGGTTTATACTCCACAGCCTGAATTACAGCTGGGACATCACAGACTAAAAAGCACAAACCACCTCAGAATTAAACACCACCACAATGTTATTCCAAAAAGCCTACCAGAGAAATTGTAGTGTGCTCAAATCCATCTTAATTTAAATCAAGCTGCAGAAACATGTTCTGATTTTTATGATTGTATCTCATATTTTAATGCTGTTCTTGTCACACTCACTTGCAAGGCTGTGGCAGGAAAATGAATTTGCTTCACCAGGCTCGGGCTGTGAATTACGGTCTCCCATAATTACTGAATGTGGTCTTCTACCCTCATTTCCAATTCCTCTGCCTTCAAGCCATTAATAATCTCACTTAATTATTTTATAATAAAGAAAGAGTTTTTAAAAAGAGTAAAATAAAGGAGAACAATTCAGGATTTTCTTTCCTGCACACAGAATGCAGTTGATTTATTTTTAAAAAATCTAAAATGAAGGAAGAATTGCATTTGCTGCTTCAATTTGAAGCTCAGGATCTGATTTTATCACCACATGAATATCTTAATAATAGCTGTGCTTTCCTCTTTTGAAATTCAGAGTATCTTTGTGTTAGAGAATTGAAATCTGTGGCTTATCATCACAACAGAAATGCAAAACTATTTTTAAGCCCTGGGAAAGATGTCACATTATTTTATACTCTTATCCTGTCCATTTTTTTTTTTTTTTTGAGTTTCCCAAAGATTTCTGCAAGAAACCTGGGCAAAGGTGACCTCTGCTGTTGTGTCAAAACCTCTGTTCCACTGCTTGTTCAAAGATTTTCCAAGCTCTAGGCATGTGTGCAGTCAGAGCTCCAACAGTGAGCCAAGCCAGGCTGGCTCCAAGGAGGAAAGTTTCTTTTGGGGAAAAAAAGAAAGTTTATTTCTATCCTTCAACATTACTCAGATAGGATTTTATCAAGCTGTGAAAAGAAGCAGCCAGTGTGGGCAAAGAAGAATGGCTTTTATAGGGGTGCCCAGAAAAAAGTTTTCCCAAATTTTAATTTTCTGCAAGAATTTCTGACAGCAGTTTCTTTTGTTCCATGTGCATTCATTTTTTATGAGGAGAAGAACTTGTAGCCTCTCTTCATTACAACTGCAACACTCTGCCACGTGGAATCTCCTTTGAGTTTAATCACATTTAATATTTTAAATTTAACTATTTTTCCATGGAATATCCATAGAGGAAAACTGCTCAGTAAAAGTAAAGCCATAAACCTGCCCTCAAAAGCCCAGTGAGGAAACTCTTGTTTACTAGCAACACCCACTACAACAAAATTGTATTTTTGTTTTCTTTTTGCCACTTTGCTAAAAATTCCCATTTTATCCTTCATGCCAGTCTCCCTGATAAACCTGCCTTGCCCAGTAGCGAAACTCCTCCCACAGCTCCTCAATTTCCTGTCAACTCCAAGAATCCCTGTTCCTCACAGGCCCATGCCATGAGGGTGATACCCCACAAAGGGCACATCCAGGTGCAATTCCTTGCACAGGTAGAGATGGAAAGCTTGCAGACTCCAGTTAGAATTACACCATGCTGGGGTTGGCTTTGCATATCCACTGAAGCCTGGGATCTGAGGTTCCCTTAGCTGCAAGATTTACCACTCACAGCAAGGTTTAGGTAGGACTTGTCTGGGTGTCTTCAGGCTGTAGTAACTGATGTGTACCTCACTTTTTGTGACACCTTGGAGGTGACAAGTTCCCAGGAGTGCTAAAGCAATTCCTCAGATGCTGCCAGGAAGGCCCTTGAAGTCCTCACACCTTTCAGATTTCCTTTTAATCCACTGATCTTGCAGGATCTGTTTTTCCTACAAATCCAAGCACCAAGGCTGGGCTGAGACATGCTCGGAGCTACTCCAGGTGCAGCTCCACTGCTGTGTCCCTGATCCTGCACATCCCTGGATCCTGGCTCCTCTCCTGGCAGGCAGCACTTGCTGAGCTCCCAGGCTGTCATTTCACTACAGCACAGGCTCCTGCGAGGCACAGGAGCTCCTGCTTCCCCTGAGGTCACAGCTCCAGGAGCTGGGCCATCCTGGCCTGGAATGCTGCCAGGTGCCTCAAGTACAACCAGTTCATGGAATTGTTCATGCTAGAAAAGACCTCTGAGGTCACTGAGTCCAGCCATCACCAAAATCATCCGTTTGATGATCCATTCCCATTCACACCCTATTTTACCTTCCATACCATTACTGGCTTCAGATGATGGAGGGAATGAAAGAAAGGCAGAAATCAAATGTGAAAAGGTTTCTGCTCTTCTCAGATGTATCATCAACCCCCTGGGCAGTCCCAAGGGAAGCTGAACTTCCTTATGATCCATAGAATCACAGAATATGCTGAGCTGGAAGGGACTCTCAGGGATCACCCAGCTCTTGTCCCTGCCCAGACCCTCCAGCAATCCCCCCTGGGCATCCCTGGCAGCGCTGTCCAAACACTCATGTCCTGGAGCTCTGGCAGCCTTGGGGCCGTGCCCATTCCCTGGGGAGCCTGGGCAGTGCCAGCACCTCTGGGGGAAGGAACTTCTCCCAAAACTGAGCCTGCCCTGGCCCAGCTCCAGCTGTTCCCTCAGGGTTGGTCAGTCCACTGCCCTTTGAAACCACTCAGACAGGTACTGACCTGTAGGGAAGTGCCCACCAAAAAACACATTGAATATTTCTTCTGGTGTGATGTCTGCTTCGAATTCTGTGTAGTAACTGTAGTGCCTGGCCTGGCCAGTGCTGGCGTGCTCGTGGTCGCTCCCGAGTTCATCGTAGCGGAGCCGTTTCTCAGGGTTGCTCAGAACTGCAAAAGCATTGCCTATTGCTGGAGAGGGAATTAAAACCAGTGTTATATTCCCAGAGCTCACACTTTTCTAAGTGGAGCAGCAAAAAGAGCCCAAAGAAGCCCAGGGAATTTGTGCTTGACCAAAGACTGAGCTACTTTTACAAAAGGCATGTAACAGCTTTGGCATTACCTGTGATGGAAACCACTTCCTGCTGTCACTGATGTTGGGGGAAAGACAAAAGTGTCTAAGTATACAGAGAGACCTGAAATATTTCTAAAACTGACATGAGAGTTCAGCCAAGAAATTGGGTGAGAATGGAGCATTTTATCAGCTCAAGCCAAATGCAAGTTTGGTCTGAGTGCACCTGCTTATCCCACATACAATTAATACAAAGTTAGTAACTGCAGGGACCAATTAAAATGCACAGGGCCATCCCAGGTTTTTCCTGCTGGCAGAGATGCTCCTGAAGCTGTGTGGCACATCTATTTCACACCTCACATCCAACCACTCAGAAGTGTTTGGCTCATCTTCTTCTTTGATCTTTGACAGAACAAGTTCACAGAGAAATACAACCCAAACACAAATGAATAAAGAGCAGCCCTCCAGAAGCTCCTTGTTTTAACAGACTGTGAATGAATCACTTGCTTTCCTCGTGCTGGGCTGCATGGAAAGGGGAAACATGTATGAGTTTAGACAGTAACACTGCAGCATAACTGAGAACTCCAGACACAGCACACTGGATTCCATTTCATACTCCCATACATAATGATAAAAAATAAAATTTTATTCATGACAAGGAGCAGTTATTGATGACAACCCTCCTGCATGGGCAGTATCAGTTCCAAGTTCTGAACCTTCTTCAGTACCACAGAATCCCAAAACGGTTTGGGTTGGAAGGAACTATGAAGATCACCTCATTCCAATCCCCTGTCATCACCAGGGACAGCTCCCACTTGACGAGGCTGCTCCAAGCCCCATCCAAGTTGTCCTTGGACATTCCCAGGGATCCAAGGGCAGCTTCACTGGGCACTCTGTGCCAGGGCCTCTCCACCCTCACAGGGAACAACTTCTTCCTAATATCCAATCCATCCCTGCCCTCTGCCAGCGTAGAGGCCATTCCCTGTGCCCTGTCTCTCCAGCTCTTCAGGAGTACCTGGGAATGAGACCTGGGGTGCACTTCCCATGGTTTCTAAGGGAGACGGGTATTTTGCAGACAGAAATGCAAACCCTGCCGAGCCGCAGCAGGGCTCTGTGAGGACGCTGCTGTGTCCGGAACCCCGGCCGGCTCCGTGGGCGCCTCTGCCCCTCACGGTGCCCCCCGGGCTCCCTCACCTTTGAAGGCCTCGGTGGCTCCGGGCGCGCGGTTCTTGTCGGGGTGGAACTTGAGGGCCAGCTTGCGGTACGCCCGCTTCAGCTCCTCCTCGCCGGCGTCCCGGCTCACCCCCAGGATCTCGTAGTAATCCCGGCACCGCTTGATCCTGAGGGCGCACACGGG